CAGGAATGAAGGGTCTCTGGGAGTCAGTTTGTGCTATCACGGAACTAAGCAGAGGGCAGTGGCCTGAGAGGTGGGATACAGAAACCCAAGGACAATGGCAATTAGTGTGCTAGGCATTAGAACTGTGAAAAGTCATCTGTAAGACTGGGTTAGAATCCCCACTTCCCTACTTGCTAGTAGTGTAACCTTTAGCCATTGACTTAACCTCTTTGAAGTTCAGCTTTCCTATAATATGTTAATAACAGGGGCCGGCATGTGGTGTGGTAGTTAAGGGCCCTGAACTCCCACGTGGCCAATCTCAGTTCAAGTCCTGGACCTGTGGCTTGCTTTCTCATTTTCTTTCTTTCTCTCTCTCTCTCTGATCAAACTGGAAAATAATAGTAAAATTAAACAGAATAATTCTTTTAAAAAGAATGTTAATACCATTGCTCTTTAAGAATTATCTTGAAGATTAAAATCAGACAATTATGTGTCTTATGCGCTTAGCACTATTTCTGGCAAATAGCAGTTGCTCGATAAACATAATCATTATCTTTGTGGCCCAAGTGGTCGTACCTTCCCCAAATCCAAGCACCTGCCTCCAACACAACAGATGCAAGGGAGCTAGTTTGACATCATCTTTCCATTGCTCTTTAAGAATTATCTTGAAGATTAAAATCAGACAATTATGTGTCTTATGCGCTTAGCACTATTTCTGGCAAATAGCAGTTGCTCGATAAACATAATCATTATCTTTGTGGCCCAAGTGGTCGTACCTTCCCCAAATCCAAGCACCTGCCTCCAACACAACAGATGCAAGGGAGCTAGTTTGACATCATCTTTCTGATAGCGTAGTCTCCTTCTTCTAGTAAATCTGCCTCTTCCCCTTACACTGGGGAACAACAAGTGAGTCCAGAGGCAGCCGACCCCGGCAGGCACTCTGGATACTCATGTATGGGTGCCCAGGTGATCCAGGCTCAGCTCTGCTCTAAGGCCTCTCCTCTTCCTCAGATAGTGGACTAACCTGGCATGTGTTTGTCATGGTAATGTCAGAGGACAAGAGGTCAAGCCTCAGGACCAGCAGTTAGCATAATGGCTATGTCGCTGGACTCCCATATAGTCGACCACAGTTCGAGTCCCGGACCCGGTGGCTTAAACTCATGCCGGGCGTGTGTGCATGTGTGCCCAAGATCCCAAGAGGAGAATGGAGGAGGGAGGAGAAGGGATTGCGACGTGGCCATCAACCCTGGGGAGTGATTTCTTGCTTCCTGTCTCTCTGTCTCTCTCTGTCTTTCTGGCGAGTGCATGTGCCCTGTAGCAAAAACCTCTAAATAAATAAACAAATAAATAAATAAATAGAGGTTAAGCCTCCAGGCACAAGCACTTTCCACAGACATTGTGTTCACTAACAACCCCATTAGCCATGGCTAGTCGTTTAGCCAAACTCCAAGTCAAGGAACAGGAAATACACGCCATTTCTGTGGTGAGGGAAACTCTGCGATGTTACACACAAACATGGAGTCGTGGGCAGGGACAAAGAATTGAGGCCATTGGTGCTGTCTACCAAGTGTGGAAAACTGATTTTCCTTTCTTTTTCCTTTCCTTCTCTTTTCTTTCCTTTTCCTTTCCTCTTCTTTCTTTATTTTATTTTTCACTAGAGGGCATGTACACTCCCCAGAGAGAGGAGAATGGGAGAAAGCACCACCACTCCCCCATGGGGAGTGGTCACACTGTAATACCTTCTCCTCCACTTCTCCCTCATTTTACGCTCTACCTGATTCTCAAGCCACTGGGTCCAGGACTCAAAGTGCACAGTCAGCCATGTAGGATCTGGCTGCCTTAGCCACTAGGCAAGGGAGCCAGCCCTGATTTTCTACAATAAAATCAAAATTATATTTTATTTATTTTCACAATAGGGATTTATTCCCCTTGGTCATGAGAAACTTCTTTGAAAAAAAAAAATAAGAAAGGTTTTATTTGATTTATAAATAAAGGACTTGTTCCTGGTAACTCAGGTACCTTCAGACATAAGACAACTGTCACATGACAGGCCCCAGGGTGGTGAGGGGTGTAGAACTCTACCATGCAACATACAGGTATCTCCCAAAGCACACTGTAGCTAAGGCCTGCCCCAACAGGCAAGCCATGTTCTTGTCTTTGATGCTGTTGCTACTTCTCCACTGGGGGGCACTGTCTACTTGACCAGAGCTGGGCCAATCTGTAATTAACTATCCAAGGAAAGGCTCACTCAGTAGGAAGCTGAGGTAACTAGCTCCCACTTTCCCATTTATTTCAGTACTTAATTGGGCCTCTTAGAGTTGGTGCTGTGGGTGATGCCTGGCTGGGCAGCACTTCTGCTTTTGTTTGTGGATTCCATGATGCAGTGAGCTCTTGGCTCCACTGCTCAGATCTGCATAGGGATCCTCAAATCATCGGTCTTCCTTGTCATGCCCTGGAGCGTGGGGTATGGGAACAGGTGGGCTGAGAGATGGGAAATGTCATCTTTCTTTCAAATAACCTAATCTTTTTGTGCCTTATTTCTTTATCTGCAAGTTGGGGTTGCTGTCTAAAGGGGTTGCCATGAGAATTGCAGTCTCCGATTTACCATGTTTTGACTTAGGATTTTCAACTCTATGGTGGTATGGGCTACCACCTATTTATTTATTTAAAAACTGACAATGACTTTGGCCTAACAAAAAATAGAAATTACATTCCATTTTCCACTTTCAGTGCAATATTCACTAAATTATGGGAGATATTCAACATTTTATTACAAAGTAGGCTTTGTGTTAGATGATTTTGCCCAACTGAGGTAAGGTAAGGATTAGGTAAGGATTAGGCTGAGGTAAGGATTCTGATCATGTTCGAGGTAGCCCAGGCTAAGCTATGATATTCAGAAAGTTAGCTATATTTAATGCAGTTTCAATGTGTGATATTTTCAATTTACAATTTTATCTTGGGACATAACCCCCTTGTAAGTCAAGGAGTATCTGTATGTGACATAATTCATGTAAAGCACTTTTAGAGCAGTGTCTGGCCCATATAAACTGTCAATAAACATGTGTTAAGCAGAGTCCCTGGCTTGACCTGTTTATTGGCAGGCATGAACACACATTGTCATCTAAACCCATAGCGGGTTCATGGTGCAAGGAAAAGGAATCCAGATCTCTACCTGCTCTTGGGCTAGTGACTCTGATAGATGTTTTTCTCTCATATTGTTGGCAATGCCAAATCCATTCCAAGGTGGGAGGAGGTCATGCAAAGAGGCAGGACATGAAGAAGAAGTCCCCCAGAGTTTTACTGGGGAGCCATTGTAGGGAAGTAGGACTAGAGACTGATGACCCATGTTACAGAGGCAACTGAAGAACAAATCTTGGGACCAGCAGTTAGCGTAATGGTTATGTTGCTGGACTCCCATGTAGTCAACTGCGGTTCGAGTCCCAGACCCGGTGGCTTAAACTCACTGCAGGCACGTGTGTGTGTGCATGCCCAAGATCCCAAGAGGAGAATGGAGGAGAAGGGATTGTGGCGTGGCCATCCCCCCCGGGGGGTGATTTCTCGCTTTCTGTCTGGCGGGTACACGTGTCCTATAGCAAAAAGCCTCTCAAAAAAAAAAAAAAAAAACAGAAAACCAAATCTCATACTCAGTGCCAAGCATTCCAAATGTTTGCTCTTTTTACTCCTCCCAACACCTGCAAAGAGGGTATTATTATCTCTGTTTTGTGAAAGAAAGCACTGAGACCAAGGGACTGGGATCCTGCCCCAGGTCTCTGTGACTCTTCCCAGTTAATCAAACTGGAGTTTTGCACATTTAAAGGATGAAGCCAGAAGCCCTTTGGATGGTTTGCGGCAGGAAGTCCATATGTCCATGAGAAACTCACGGCATTTCCCTTTCCCTCCTCCCCTTATCCTTTGTGGGGCATACATTGGAGGAGTGAGCTCCCAGCCTATCAGCACATTTTCAGCACCCCACCTGCATCTCAGGCCATTTAGTCCCAAACAATGAAGAGGACAACTCACAGGTGCCACTGCTTTTTTTTTTTTTTTTAGAGATTTTTGCTGTAGGGTGTATGTGCTCCCCAGAGAAACAGAAAGAAATGACCTCCCAGGGAGGATTGCCATGCCACAATCCCTTCTCCTCCATTATCCTCTTGAGATTTGGGGCACGCACGCACAAGCACCAGCATGAGTTTCAAGCTGCTAGGTCCAGGACTCAAACCGTGGCTATCCATGTGAAAGTCCAGCGCCTTGACCACTATGCCACTGCCCCCCCTCCCCGCCCCATTGCTTTTTCAATGGTCCTAAAATCAGCCCTCGTGTTCTATAGAATCTGCATGATAAATGATGTATCTGGACGAGCACCCATCCCAGCCAGGAGAAGGCAGTGTGGTTACTACGCTGTCTGGCATCTCCCAGCTCAGGCGATGACAGTGATGTTTATGAGGGTAGCTGAGCTCATGAGCATTGCCCCATATTTTCCAAAGTCCGTTGTTCCATTTTGAGATCACAGTCTGAACTCTTGACCCTGCTCAGCTCTTTCCAGACGTGTCACCCAAGCCACCAGGGGAATTGAGAAAGCGAGTGGGGGTGGCTTGAGTCAGGTCCCTGTTTCTGTTAGATAAACAGCTCAATCTCCCACCACCTCCCTGGAGCTGAGTCACTTGGAGCTATCCCTCCAGTTGGAAAGGGCAGCACGTAGTCAATATTATTTTGGACACAGGCTCCTAACCCAGCCTTCTTCCAAGCATTCTGGTTTGAGAGGGTTCCTGAAATCATTTGAAAACATCATGGTAAATTTGACACCGCATTACACAAACCAGATGTGGTCGTCCATCAAATGTCCCTTGGCTGGTTGATTTCCTTGGGATGACCGTATTCGAACTGAAAATGTGACTCAAATTTTGTTTCATTTCCTTGCTCGGTGTGCTGAGCACACAGTGTTTACAGAAAAGCATCTCGTCTATGTTTCCTTTATGCAGTCAATGGGTATTTACTGAGCACTTGCACCACGGCTTGTGCTGAGGTTGCGGTTCCATAGCATTTATGGACAAGCGTCTCATCTATATTGCCATTCATTCATTCAACCAATAGTTTCTGAACACCTGTATGATGGCTGGAGGTAGGCTCATGGCAAGAAATAAACGAAAAGGCCCAAGACACTACAGAAGGAGTTTAATGGGGGTAATCCCAGCACAGGCAGGCAGCGTTGGGAAGGGCCAATGGCCCAGCATTCCATCAACTAATCTGATTCTGAAGGATGAATAAAAGTTCCTCGAGGCACAGAACCCTTGGGCAGAGGAAGAAGCTCCTGTGAAAGAGTGGAAGCAAGAGCTGCTGGCTCCAGCTGCTGAGAAGGGTTGGAGGAGCATAAAGGGATGGGGCTGCAGAAATAAGCTGGAGCCTGTTGGCAGTGCTAAGAAGTTTGAGCTTTCTCTTGGGAACACTGAGGAGACACTGGGGAATTCTAAGCAGGCGAGAGACCAGATTTGCATTTTATGTGGCATTCAAGTAGAGGAGGGGTGGAAGCTAGGGGACTGGCAGTAACTGGGTGGAGGTTAAAATGACTTGGATAAAGACGGTAGCAATAATGCAAAGAGAGATGGAGATGGATGAATTTAAGAGATGCTTCATCAGATCGATGCAAGTGATCAGATGCGACATCAACTCAGCACGTTGGCATAGGTAACTGCAGTCTAGTGATGGCTGAAACAGAAACCTGGTGGAGAAGCAGGGTAGGGCTTGGGTCAGATTCTGAGCTTAGTTTTTGGACATGCTCAGACTGCGAATAGTATGACACTAAGCAGAATCATTGGTGAGTGAATGCCCTAGAAATAAAGCAGAACCCTCTATTTTCGCTAGCAGAAATTTATTGAGCACCTACTACATGACATTGTTCTAGACACTCCTATAGGAGGTGCCACTCACGCAGCCAAGCGTAGCCTCAAATGCCTCCTTGGCGAGGCTCACCTAAAATGTGAAAATAGAAATCAACATTCTGAGCCAGCCATCAGTTTGTAGCTTATTAGACCAGCAGACAACTGGTGACCTGGGAGAACTCCCAGAGGGCAAGATGTGATGGGATGGTTGAGCAGGTGCTGCAGGGAAGCTTACCCTGGGACGAGGCATGCTGCAGGTAGAGAAAAACGTCAGTATTAGCTTCTGATTTTGTTTCTGTCTGTATTTTCCTTTGAGGTTAAATATTTCACAAATTCAGAAAATTCTCTCTGGGAATTTCAAGGATAACACCATCCAAAGCAGGGAGGCAGGTGAGTTTTTGTCGCACATGGATGAACTCAGAATGTTGCTGTTTCAGGAGTGTCTTGCGGCCCTTCTGGAAGAAAACCACCCAATGACTGAGTCAGTAGTCTATAAGCTGCGATTCTTGTTCACTGACAGTGTCTGACATGTAACAGATGCCCTACCAATACGTACCAAGTGTGCAATGAATGAAACCGAGCTTGGCCAACACAGTTGCGTGTGTTAACGGCCACCATGAAGACAAGCGTGCTGATGTTGATAAGTAGCCTTTGAGCTGGAAGACTAAACAGCACCATCACACCCAGTGGCTGTTCTTTGTCCCTTTGGGTTCTAACCAGTCGTGACTTGAATGCCCACGTGTGCACTTGTCCAAGAGGATGTTTCTGAAGCAGGATTACAAATCGAAGTAGGTCTAGTTAGATAGAAAAAAAGTTCATTAAACCTCGTGAAGAACCTGGCAGTTCAGTTCCTTCAGAGAGCTGTCTTTGGATAAACCTCACCCCACAGTGTGGTTGCCTGCAGTCCAAGCCAGTGTCTTTTCCAAGGAAAGTCTGATAAGAATTCTTCTCACCCGTTTACTCCAATCGGCCAGGAGTAGTGTGGGGCCATCTCCTGTGAAGGAGAGAGACTTTTGTATTGATTAATGATATCTGCTATACATTGGCCATCCTGAAAGAAAGTGGAAATGGATGTCCACGTGGAAACATGCTTTACCTACAGTTCTCTTCCTGCTTATAATGACCCTGGTGGGGTGAGTTTTCTCCTAACCTGGCATATCCAGACGATCTGAGGCAATCCAAAATTTGAACTATGAACCCAGGTTCTAAGCACCAACAACATCAAAAAATTAGTGAATAACAATAATAATCACTGGAAGGAGAAAGCAGTACCCAAAGTTTAAGGACAAAGCCAAGCAATAAGTGGAGGGATTTGTGATCCTCCACATCCTGTCTGGTGCTGAGCTTTAAGGTTCAGGAAAGTGCCCTGCACACCACCCTCTTCCCCCAGCTCTGCTCTAATGCAGGAGTTGAGCCATGCCAAACTCCCTCATGTCTTACTTGCCCTGGCATCTTTGGATCCTCCAATTGCCCTCCTATCAAGTCTCTTCTTTTTTCTTTTTTAAGGTTTTTGCCATACGGCAAGTGTGCTTGCCAGCAAAAGACAGAGAGACAGCGGGAAGGAAAGTGAGAAATCATTCCGCAGGTGGGATGGGCATGCTGCAATCCCTTCTCCTCCATTCTCTTCCTGGGATTTTGGGTATCCACGTACACGCACCTGGCATTTTTCAAGCCACCATGTCCAGGACTCAAACTGTGGCTGGCCCTGTGGGAGTCAGTGCTTTAATCATTGCACCACCTGATGGTCCCCAAAGTCTCTTCTTTTTTTAATTGTTTATGCTATCCCCAGGTTACAGTTCCCTACATAAAGCCTTCTACAATTTACAAAGAGCTTTCTTCACATGGTCATCTTATTTCCTACTTTCTGATGAAATACAGGCTTTCTGGTGGTCCCAATTTTCTCAAGGAAAGTGAGGCTTACAAGAAAATCGCCCTCTTAGATGAATAGGATCTTCCTGTGTTGCACTTTGCTGCTCCCTTTCAGATGGATAATACTTCAGTACTAGTAGCCCGGTGGTTCTCAACAGGGGACCAGGGAGTGATTTTGCTCCACAGGGGACATTTAACAATATCTGGTGACATTTTTGGTTGTCACAACTGGCAAGGGGAATGCTACAGGAATCTAGGAACACAAGCTATCCATAATACACGTGATAGCTCACACCACAGAGAAATATCTGGCCAGAGAACTAGCTTGGCAATAACAATACTGCCAAGGTTGAGGAACACCATCGTTGAGGATGCCAAGCTGAGGTCCCCTCTAGAGTGACCCAGCCAGATTCCCTGCTCTATGAAGCCTCTTCCAATTCACCAAGTTGAAGGGTTGGCTTATGTGCCTCTGAATCCTACAACAGTTCATAGGCAGCTGTCTAGGATGTTTATCACTCCCTGTGTGTTACTCCGTAAGGTTGCTTGTGGTATCCGCCTCAAAGCCCGTAAGCTCCCTGAGGCTCACACTTCATTGTTATGTTCCTGAAAGGCCCATGGAAACCACCTGCCCACTTTGTATACCTAAAAACTGTGATCGGATGAAGGAGTGTGAGGGAGAGGTCGATGCATCTTTGGACAGGGATGTTACTGGATCATTTGCTCAGCATCATTTTCTCTCTCCTCAGATGTGATTCTTGAATGCCTGGGCCTCAAGTGGGAACTCCACCAGCCTCAGCTTTTTCAGTCCAAGACCTTGGCCAACCTTTACTTGGTGGCCCTAGGACAGAGCACCACCAATCCCATGATGGAACTGAACAAGCTTCTGCGAGGTACAGAAGTCCCAACGCCTTCCAGTTTGAGGGACTCCAACTTGCCATTTGGTTACCTACTTTGAGAACAGAGTCACTCTGGCAGTAAGAGCAAGGCTCCAGGGTGTGGCCTCTTCACACAATTTAACCTCAGTTCCCTTGGTTGTAAAATGGAGATCATATCATTCTTATCGCATGGCTTTAAAGACTGGAGAAGTCAATAGGTCTGAAGTTCTAGGACAATGTTTGGCACACAGTGAGTGCTCAGTTATCTTCATAATAACCCAAGTTTTGTCTGGTGAGCTAAGATGTAGAGACACTACCTACTTCTAAATGGGCTGAAGAGCATTCTGGAAGGGAGACATATCTGTAGGGGCCCTAAGTATGCTGGTTAGAAATGTATGTGTTCATCTATTGTCTTGTCTCTTTTTATTTCATTGTTGTTTTTTTGGTTTCCTAGCTCACCACTTATTCCAAAAAGAACACAGATCACTTCTTACTTTCTTTTTCTCTTTTTTAAGTTCTAACCACTTCCAATCTCCTCTTACCTGTTCCATAAATCTTCTTTGGCTACATTGCCAACTTCTTTTTTGGGCAACAGATTGGCAACACCTCAGGCTGACTCATAAGCAGGTGCCATGGAAAATTCAAAGCTCTCAAGTCAGCCAGCATGCCAGTCAGTAGGGGATTGCTTTTCTAGGACATGGCAGCAAAGTCCTCTTCTTCTGGAACCAGACAGGTAGCCGAAGCCCCTGGTCACAGCCCCACCCTGAGCCAAGAGAGCCTTGCTGCCTGCCTGAATCTGCCTAGCCTCTGAGCCTCTGACTCAGCCCTTCCCCAGCTGAGCTGACAGTAAGAGCCAGCTATGGATTTCCCACAAAACTGTAACAACTTTGGCCCTTGCTCATGGTCTTCTTTACTATTCCAAAGTGTTTGTCCCAGTGTCTTCAAGAGTGGGACTGGGCTCTTCCAACTCCCTGTGCCCAGCTCAGAGCACTCACAGGCCAGCAGTGAAAGCCTCTGGTGACCCAAACAGTGAGGACATTGGAGAGAGCAAGAGAATTTGGAAAGAGTCATTGTTAACATTACGTTGTTCAATATATCTAAAATCATTTCACTGAAAAGAAAAGATTTGACCCTGCTAAGACAGTCATTTTGATCTAAGCCCCTCTGTTTGAGGCTGGGCCTGGCTGGGAAATGTCAGAGAAGGTAAAGAAATGAAGCCCCAGTGTCCTTGACTGTCACGGTTTTCCAGGATATACCCCCAAACATCGGGAGCTCATCAAGCCCTGGGATTCACATCTCCAAGGCTTCCAGTCATGACGGCCATAGTCGTTCATGTGCCTTAACAACAAAACATAGCTGAACTGACTTTGGTGCTCTTGAGAATGTCCTGGAGTCAGCCACAGAGAAAGTTTCTGAGCAAGCCCTGGTGTTTCTGAACAAGGCTCTCCCAGCTGCTTGGTTTCCTTTCACCAAGAGTTGAGGAGCAGCTGCACTAGAGCAGGATGTGTTTATCCTTTAGGATAAGAGAGAGAGAAAATGGTACTCTTTCACTAAAAGCAAACCAAATGCTTTGGTTTTGAAGAACTTCAGAAGAGTATGACCAGATCCTTAGTCTCTGATCTGATGCCGGGGTTCTACTTAACCTGGAAGGAATGTTACACTTCCGTCTTCCACTTGCTCTGGCCTAGCTGATAATATCCCTTCCTTCCTCAACAAATCCTGAGTTCTTGGCTATGCCAGGCATTGTACTAGGAACACGCCATCTGGGTGACAGGCAAGCACGCCGTGCTGAAGCATTTCTTGGCTATGCCAGGCATTGTACTAGGAACGCGCCATCTGGGCGACAGGCAAGACGCCGTGCTGAAGCACGGTAAGTAGCATGACACAGAATAATACAAACCACCACTTCATGCATGCCTACTATGTGCCAAGCACTCATAGGCATTATTACTGCATTTACTCCCCACAGTGAAGTGAATGAGAGTCCGGAGAGTGTAGATGGGAGGCCATGCAGTGAGGCCAGAAAGGAAAGTCACACAGAGCTGGGAACAAGGCCTGGAACTTTGCAGGTGCTCTATTAATATTTACTGAACAAGAGCCTGAACAGAGGCAAGTGCCAGAGTATACCGAGGGAGGTGGAAGAAGAAGGATTCTTCTCTATTTTTTTTCTGCAGTCTTTGTAGTTGTCAAGCGTGACATACTTTTTGGCTCCCAACTTGTGTCTTTTTTTTTTTTTTTATCACCTGGAACCTTGAGATCCCCAGGCTTGGCATTCTGGCAATTCCATTAGTTCAGCCACTATTCACTAGGCAGCGTGTGTGCAAGACTGTGATGGGTCCTGGAGATGGAACAGCAACTATCCAATTAGCCGGCCCAGCAGATTCGCATACAAGAGCAGGTCGGGGAAAGGCTAGTCTTTGAAGAAGGATAAAGCCGTCTGACACAGGCAGGTGGAGGCTGGGAGTGTTATCTGGCATATGGGGTTGGGGAAAGCCTCTCTGAGAAGACAGGTGAGCAGGCTCCTGATGAGGTGAGGGAGGAGGGAGTATGGCCCATACCGTCCTGGGGAGCATGCTGCCAGGAGCTAGGTTTGGGGTATGGTGAGCAGACAGAGGGGAAGGGGCTAGAGGCCATTGGTGGGGCTTTGGCTCATGTGCCAAAGGGATGGGATGCCACTGGAGACCCAAGAACAATGGCACGTGGACTCACTTTTTGGAACTCCGAGAGGGTGGGCTTGATTAGCCATGAGTTAGGTTGCTCCTTCCCTTCCTCCTGGAAGTCCTGGGTCCCAGGGGGCTCCCTTCTTGAAGATCTGTGGGCCAAGTCACTGGGTGGACACCTCAGCCCCACACTGATCCTCCAGTGGGTGATCACAGGGCTCCTAACTCATGCCTGATCAGCCCCAGGTGCTCAGGGTACAGAAACAACTGAAGCCTCGTCTTTGCCCTCACACTGCTTACAGTCTAATGAGAGAAAGTGCGGGAGAGGAGAGCGAGGGAGCGGTAATAAATACTGTAAATATATAGTGATAAATTCCATAAATAGTAAAGTACAGTGTGAGCATGATTTTCTGTTCTGACAATGAACAACGGCCGTGTAAGATCATGGGGAAAGCTAGCCAAGGGGTACACAAGAGCTCTCCATACTATTTTTGCAACTTCTGGGGAGTCTTAAACTGTTTCAGAATAAACACTTGTTTTAAAATGTATCTACTGGGGCCAGAAGATAGCATAGTGGTTACATAGCTGGACTCACATGTGGCCAACCATGGTCCAAGTCCTGGACCCAGTGGCTTGAAAATCACACCCTGTATGCGTGTGTGCGTGCCTACGATCCCAGGAGGAGAATGGAGGAAAAGAGATCGCAGAATGGTTATCTCACCCAGGGAAGGGGGAATTTCTTACTTTCCCTTTCACTGCCTCTGTCTGTCTTTCTGTCTGTCTGTCTCTCTCTCTCTGGTGAGCACGGGCACTCTGTGGTAAAAAACCTCTTTAAAAAGAAGTGTCCACTAAACAAACAAACTAAATATAGTGCGATACATGCCAAGACCGCAGGGCGGTGGGATCCTCGCACCGCATCTCCATGGTGGCTAACAAACCCACACCTCCCTATCTGACTTCTTTTCCTAGCTTCATCACCTAGGAATACCAAAGACCAGTCCTCTGTGAAGAGGATCTTCATTTCCTTGAAGATCAATGACCCACTGGTCACCAAAGTTGGTAATGTACATTAGTCTTTGAATTCTGACGCTAAACAAATGGTCCTCCCAGATTTAAAATAAAAAGCAAAACACAGCAGAAAGGTGATGTATATTCCTTATTAAAAAAAAAAAAACAAAAACCTGAACAAGACAAACCAAGAAAGGGCCAGAGGGCTGAGATGACCTGCAGAAATGGAAGTAGGTGGAATGCTACTAGAGAGGGTTTTTTGGTTTTTATTTATTTTTATTTTTATTTTTTGAGAGGTTTTTGCTATAGGACGTGTGCACTCACCAGAAAGACAGAGAGAGACAGAAAGACAGAAAGTGAGAAATCACCCCCCAGGGGGGATGGCCACGCTGCAATCCCTTCTCCTCCATTCTCCTCTCGGGATCTTGGGCACGCACACACATGCACCCGGCGTGAGTTTAAGCCACTGGGTCCAGGACTCGAACTATGGTCGACTATGTGGGAGTCCAGCAATATAGCCATTACACTAACTGCTGGTTCCCAAGACTTTTGACATTGAGAAAAGAGGCATGAAGAATGACAGAAGGGAAGGAAGGAACAGCCTTCTCAGACAGACCCACAGAAATGCACCTTCCCTTCTGGAGCTCACACCTGCCCAGGGAAGCCCTCAGGCCCACTGTGTTCCCAGGCAGCACTTATCTAGCCCTTCCTAACAACAACTCCCAGGGCTGCTCCAGCAGCAGAAGGCTCCCCACTGGGGCTCACTCTCTCCCCACCCCTTCCTGGCAACCTAGAGCAGACTGCTGTGTTAGCGTGACATGTGTGACCCTGGTGATAGCATGGGTTTACGAATTGCTAGGTCAGGTATTAATCCACTTAAGAACAAGTTCAGCCAGTTGTCCTCAGAGCACGCTGTGAGGCACGGCAGCACGATTTGGGATTAGATTATGTAGAACTTGAAATAAGCTGAGTCCATCTGTCCCCTGACCAAGGCAGTTCAGTTCCTGAACTATCAAATTATCCTGGCTCTTTCCCAAAGTCCTTGACCTTTTCTGAAGTGCCCAGACTCTAAGGAAAATCTTCTGTAACCTCTGTGTCATCTCCAGTGAAAAAAACGCACCTAACCTGCACATGACATTCTGTACACGTTTGGACAGTCACATTTCCACAGGACATGGATCCCAGGTTAGGAGAGATCCCTAAAACAGTCTCACCCTTGAGGTGACCCCAAGACACAGACTCCCTAAATGGCCATAAAGGAGCACCCCTTTTGCAGAAGCTCAGCCTTCTTTGGCTTTATCCTCAACTCCCTTGAGGAGGTTAGGAGTCCACAGAACAAACTTCCCTGATGGCGTCTGCACCCAGTCAGTGCTGGTGCATTTTCTCTAAGAGCAGCTCTTCCCTACCAGCTGCAGGAGTGAGTGAGGGGCACGGGTGGTGTCCTGTGCACAGAGCCCCACCCTGATGGCTTGCTCTCTGCTGCTCCCTCCCCAGCCTTTGCCACGTCCTTGAAGAACCTCTACATGAGCACTGCGGAGGTGGACATAGACGACGTGCTGGGAGTGCTGGCTTCTGCTCACGTTCTTCAGTTCAGCACCCTGTCTCAAAGGTAAGGGAGCATGGTGCAACTTAAGCCCGGCCAGGCCTGGGTAGAATCAGAAGGGCCCTTCCCAGTCCATTTGATGGTACATCTCTTATCCTTGGGCTCATTCACCTGAGGGTGGCTTTTTTGTTTTGTTTCGTTTTTAAGAGTTATTTTATTTTAACTTTATTTATTATTATTATTATTTTGCAATTCGACCAGATTGAGAGAGAGAGGGAAAGTGAGAAAGGAGCCACCAGGCCTGGGACTCAAACCATGGTCAGCCATGCGGGAGTCCAGCACCTTTTAACCACCACGCCCCCTGCCAGCCCACCCGAGGGTGTTTTTGCACCAAGCGTATCTTTGAATCTGGAAAGGAACCACGACACTAATTCGCAATACTCATTTTAACCAAATAATTCTCCACTCAGGAACGAACCAGAAAGACAGAGAGAGACAGAAAGACAGAAAGTGAGAAATCACCCCCCAGGGGGGATGGCCACGCTGCAATCCCTTCTCCTCCATTCTCCTCTCGGGATCTTGGGCACGCACACACACGCACCCGGCGTGAGTTTAAGCCACTGGGTCCAGGACTCGAACTATGGTCGACTATGTGGGAGTCCAGCAATATAGCCATTACACTAACTGCTGGTTCCCAAGACTTTTGACATTGAGAAAAGAGGCATGAAGAATGACAGAAGGGAAGGAAGGAACAGCCTTCTCAGACAGACCCACAGAAATGCACCTGCCCTTCTGGAGCTCACACCTGCCCAGGGAAGCCCTCAGGCCCACTGTGTTCCCAGGCAGCACTTATCTAGCCCTTCCTAACAACAACTCCCAGGGCTGCTCCAGCAGCAGAAGGCTCCCCACTGGGGCTCACTCTCTCCCCACCCCTTCCTGGCAACCTAGAGCAGACTGCTGTGTTAGCGTGACATGTGTGACCCTGGTGATAGCATGGGTTTACGAATTGCTAGGTCAGGTATTAATCCACTTAAGAACAAGTTCAGCCAGTTGTCCTCAGAGCACGCTGTGAGGCACGGCAGCACGATTTGGGATTAGATTATGTAGAACTTGAAATAAGCTGAGTCCATCTGTCCCCTGACCAAGGCAGTTCAGTTCCTGAACTATCAAATTATCCTGGCTCTTTCCCAAAGTCCTTGACCTTTTCTGAAGTGCCCAGACTCTAAGGAAAATCTTCTGTAACCTCTGTGTCATCTCCAGTGAAAAAAACGCACCTAACCTGCACATGACATTCTGTACACGTTTGGACAGTCACATTTCCACAGGACATGGATCCCAGGTTAGGAGAGATCCCTAAAACAGTCTCACCCTTGAGGTGACCCCAAGACACAGACTCCCTAAATGGCCATAAAGGAGCACCCCTTTTGCAGAAGCTCAGCCTTCTTTGGCTTTATCCTCAACTCCCTTGAGGAGGTTAGGAGTCCACAGAACAAACTTCCCTGATGGCGTCTGCACCCAGTCAGTGCTGGTGCATTTTCTCTAAGAGCAGCTCTTCCCTACCAGCTGCAGGAGTGAGTGAGGGGCACGGGTGGTGTCCTGTGCACAGAGCCCCACCCTGATGGCTTGCTCTCTGCTGCTCCCTCCCCAGCCTTTGCCACGTCCTTGAAGAACCTCTACATGAGCACTGCGGAGGTGGACATAGACGACGTGCTGGGAGTGCTGGCTTCTGCTCACGTTCTTCAGTTCAGCACCCTGTCTCAAAGGTAAGGGAGCATGGTGCAACTTAAGCCCGGCCAGGCCTGGGTAGAATCAGAAGGGCCCTTCCCAGTCCATTTGATGGTACATCTCTTATCCTTGGGCTCATTCACCTGAGGGTGGCTTTTTTGTTTTGTTTCGTTTTTAAGAGTTATTTTATTTTAACTTTATTTATTATTATTATTATTTTGCAATTCGACCAGATTGAGAGAGAGAGGGAAAGTGAGAAAGGAGCCACCAGGCCTGGGACTCAAACCATGGTCAGCCATGCGGGAGTCCAGCACCTTTTAACCACCACGCCCCCTGCCAGCCCACCCGAGGGTGTTTTTGCACCAAGCGTATCTTTGAATCTGGAAAGGAACCACGACACTAATTCGCAATACTCATTTTAACCAAATAATTCTCCACTCAGGAACGAACTACAAATAGAGGATCTCTACCGCTGGGAAACATTCTGCAGGCATACAAAATGACTTCCCAGTAACCCTCACTGCTGGTTCCCAAGACTTTTGACATTGAGAAAAGAGGCATGAAGAATGACAGAAGGGAAGGAAGGAACAGCCTTCTCAGACAGACCCACAGAAATGCACCTGCCCTTCTGGAGCTCACACCTGCCCAGGGAAGCCCTCAGGCCCACTGTGTTCCCAGGCAGCACTTATCTAGCCCTTCCTAACAACAACTCCCAGGGCTGCTCCAGCAGCAGAAGGCTCCCCACTGGGGCTCACTCTCTCCCCACCCCTTCCTGGCAACCTAGAGCAGACTGCTGTGTTAGCGTGACATGTGTGACCCTGGTGATAGCATGGGTTTACGAATTGCTAGGTCAGGTATTAATCCACTTAAGAACAAGTTCAGCCAGTTGTCCTCAGAGCACGCTGTGAGGCACGGCAGCACGATTTGGGATTAGATTATGTAGAACTTGAAATAAGCTGAGTCCATCTGTCCCCTGACCAAGGCAGTTCAGTTCCTGAACTATCAAATTATCCTGGCTCTTTCCCAAAGTCCTTGACCTTTTCTGAAGTGCCCAGACTCTAAGGAAAATCTTCTGTAACCTCTGTGTCATCTCCAGTGAAAAAAACGCACCTAACCTGCACATGACATTCTGTACACGTTTGGACAGTCACATTTCCACAGGACATGGATCCCAGGTTAGGAGAGATCCCTAAAACAGTCTCACCCTTGAGGTGACCCCAAGACACAGACTCCCTAAATGGCCATAAAGGAGCACCCCTTTTGCAGAAGCTCAGCCTTCTTTGGCTTTATCCTCAACTCCCTTGAGGAGGTTAGGAGTCCACAGAACAAACTTCCCTGATGGCGTCTGCACCCAGTCAGTGCTGGTGCATTTTCTCTAAGAGCAGCTCTTCCCTACCAGCTGCAGGAGTGAGTGAGGGGCACGGGTGGTGTCCTGTGCACAGAGCCCCACCCTGATGGCTTGCTCTCTGCTGCTCCCTCCCCAGCCTTTGCCACGTCCTTGAAGAACCTCTACATGAGCACTGCGGAGGTGGACATAGACGACGTGCTGGGAGTGCTGGCTTCTGCTCACGTTCTTCAGTTCAGCACCCTGTCTCAAAGGTAAGGGAGCATGGTGCAACTTAAGCCCGGCCAGGCCTGGGTAGAATCAGAAGGGCCCTTCCCAGTCCATTTGATGGTACATCTCTTATCCTTGGGCTCATTCACCTGAGGGTGGCTTTTTTGTTTTGTTTCGTTTTTAAGAGTTATTTTATTTTAACTTTATTTATTATTATTATTATTTTGCAATTCGACCAGATTGAGAGAGAGAGGGAAAGTGAGAAAGGAGCCACCAGGCCTGGGACTCAAACCATGGTCAGCCATGCGGGAGTCCAGCACCTTTTAACCACCACGCCCCCTGCCAGCCCACCCGAGGGTGTTTTTGCACCAAGCGTATCTTTGAATCTGGAAAGGAACCACGACACTAATTCGCAATACTCATTTTAACCAAATAATTCTCCACTCAGGAACGAACTACAAATAGAGGATCTCTACCGCTGGGAAACATTCTGCAGGCATACAAAATGACTTCCCAGTAACCCTCAAACCAGGCTTGCTTATCTGTTTCCTATGTTTACACTCTGGTTAACGTCTCTCTCCGCTGAGTTTACACACATACGTGAACTGGCTGTTGGAGGACAGACTGACTTTTTCATCATTGTCAGGCCTCATGTCAGATAAAAGTCTTGATTTTTCTTGTAAATCTTATTTGTATTGTTACAATTGTTACACATGGTCATGAGAAGACAGAAAAATGCAAAGATCCATGTCAAAATTGCACATCAATGCCACTGTCCCTGTGGGGGACTCAGCCTTTTTCTTGGGCATGTGAATCTGCTGGCATATGTGGGTTGCCCGTTAGGGGAGACTGTGTACAATGAGGGGGATTGGCCATGAAAATTTCAAAGTGAATTGACTTTAAATGCAAACATTTCTTCATTCTGACGAGGATTACCTGGGCTCCTGGACACCTGAAGAGCTCATGGCTGCTAAAAGTGTAAGGATTCAAGTCATCGTTTCCATATCCATGAGCGATAGGCATATTTCAGTGATTCTGCCTGGGTTCAAAAAGCCATTGAAATGCAGCCTAGGAGGAATGAGAGTAAAAAAGAATTGGGCTTTTTCTACAGTCAAAAGCAATCACATGCGTGGGGCGTAGGGTCTGCGATCAGCCCTGCAGTAGGCTGCCCCTGAGCCTCCATATGCCTCAGTGGTCTCTGCTGTAAAATGGGCCCATAATTTTTGTTCTGTTTACTTCCCAGAACTTTCCTGGGGATTAGGGGCTTTGAAATGGAGTGTGTGACCGGTCAGACAGTGTTCTCAGCTCTTTGCAGGGAGAGCCCCAGAAGGTAGTACTTGTTCATTTTACAGATGAGAAAACCGAGGCTGTGAGAGGTAAGTAACTCGCTAGAGTCATACGGCTTCGTCAGTTAGAGAAGCCAGGATTTGAAGGAGACTGAAAGCCCTGGAATCTGCACCCCTCATACTGGGCTATTCTGCTTTGCTTAGTGAGGTGACGATGTCCCTTACTCACTTGCGGTCTTGACCCTCCCTGCACCCATCCCTCCCATGGCATTTGGTCTGGTGGGGTTTGTTTAGCACCATTCACTTGTCAGTTTATTCCACCACACCTCCTTTCATCTGTCCTCTTTCAAGAATGATTTCTTAGGCTTCTCCAGGATGGCAGGGAGACAGTGAGGGATGACATGGGCAGGGTCACTGCCTGCTAAAGTCTAGCAGTCTCGAAGACTCTGGAAATGAGTCAAGTCGGGCCAAGGAAAGGGTGAGAATTTCCAAGTGGAAAG